TGCTAAATTATATGAATTCAAGTAACTTGATGTATAAATTAACAAAATAAAAGAGAATCAGCCTTAAAAGATAAGTTTTTGATCACATTTAAACTGATGAAATGAAGAAGTCTCAAAAAAATTATTTAGATGTTTTATTAATAGTAATTAGAAGAATTATTGAATTTCAAATATATTATAGAAATTTTAATTAATTTACTTTTTATCTTTTATTAACATTAAATATAAATATATAACATATACTATATTAAGATAAATTTAAGTTATCCAAATTCTTTGAAATAACTGAATTCCTTAACTTGGTTTATTTAGAGTTCTATTATCAAAAATTAGAAAGATACACTTTTAATCATCATTTATTGTGAAATAAAAAAATAATAGAAAAGTATTAATTAAAATAAAATGTATTGTAAGGAACCTGAATCTTCGGAAGATTAAATTACTTATTTTGGTGAATATAATAAAAAAGGGAGGAAGGTAGGTAAATGGAGTATTAGATGGAATGAGAAAGGATAGAATAAATAAATGTAAATATTAATATATATAGTAATAATATCTTAGTGGCGGTGGATCTTTTGATGAATAGGGAATTAAGATTGGAAGGTGGATGGAATTATGTGAAGGTTTTAATAGTGAGAAATAAGTCACTTATAATGGTGAATATAATTAGAAAGGTATGAAAGTAGGTAGATGGGATATTAATTATTGTGAGGAGGGCAAGTAAGAATATAAATTAATGTAAATATGATATAAGTATAGGTAATTATATTATGTTAGTGGTGGTGGATCTTATGGTGAGGGAGTGAATTAGATTAAGATTGGAAAATGGGTAGAATTGGATGAAGGGTTTGGAGATGGAATTGGATAAAATAAAATCACTTATAATGGTGAATATAATATGAAAGGAATGAAGGTAGGAAGATGGGATATTAGTTATGATAAGAATGATGGAAATGGATAAAAATAAATGTAAATATTTTATAAGAATAGGTGATTATAAAATGTTAGTGGTGGTGGTTCATATGGTGAGGGAGATGGTTAAATTAAGATTGGTAAGTGGGTAGAGTTGTGGGAGAATTTTGGATTTCTATCTTAAATCACTTATAGTGGTGAATATAATAAGAAGGGTATGAAAGTAGGTAGATGGGATATTAATTATTGTGATTGGGGGATGGATTAATACAAATAAATGTAAATATATTATAAGTATATTAAATTAGTGGTGGTGGATCCTATGCTGAGGGAGATGGTTAGATTAAGATTGGTAAGTGGATAGAGTTGGATTAAGGGTTTGAAAGAGATAAAAAAGTCACATTTAATGGTGAATATAATATGAAAGGTGTGAAAATTGGGATATGGGTGGAAATGGATATTGGTGAAAATAAGAAACGTGGCGAAAAAAAATATAAGAATTGAATAGCAAATAAAGAAAAATTAATATGATTAATATAGATGAAAAATTTAATGTAATAAACAAATAAATTAGTGTTTTTGGATTAATTTTCTTATTTTTGGATTTTGAGTTCTGAGAGGTTAAATTCATTTTTTTTGTTTTAATTTTTTATTATCGATAATTTTGAAAGGATTTTTAAATTTCGTCTTTGATTTTTTGATATCTTTTTGTTTTTTATCGTTTTTATTTTTAATTAAACTTTTGTCTTCTTTAACACTTTTATTTTTATTTAAACTTACCTAAATCTTATTATGGTAAAGTAGTGTATTAATCTTATAGTTCAATGTAATCTCTTAATAATTTTTAAGATTCTAACTATTTTAAAACATTCCTCTCTAATGATATTAAAAAATATTCAAAATACAAAACATTATAGAGATTTAATTAAATTTGATCAAAAATTTTTGGTGTATTAAATCAACAATTGTAGGTTTTGGTAAATTAATTTCATAGACATCCAAGGTTCTTGAGAATTTAAATTGGAAACTCTTTCTTAAAAAACTTAATCTATTTAATGATGAATCAATCGAACTTAACCATATAATTTCTACTTATAAAAGGTATATATAAATTGTAGATTTAGTAAATTCTAAACTAGAAATGTGTGGAAATAAAAATTATTTGTTTATATAAGAAGAATATATCTAGCCAAACAGTTAAATGAAAGGAAATATGATATCTTATCTACTTTATATAAATACATACAACCACCAACTTTAGTGTATTATAGGATAATTTTTAAATTAAATGTGAAGGTTGTTGAAAAGTAACTAATCGAAAAAAAATATGTAATTTATTTTCATCTCACCTGAAGCTTCGGAATTTTTAAATCTGCATCCAAATGATATATCAAGATAATGAAACAGAATATTTAATTCAATATTAAGAATTATATATAATTCACTTAATTTATTTCATGGATATTTTGATTTTTACTCTTCATTTTCAATTTTTTTGTCGTATAAAATAAGCAAAAATCTCTAAAAATTCGATTATCATTTTAATCAATAAACTATGGACCAAATTACTTGAAAATCTTAAATTAGAATGAAAATATAAATTAAATTAATCTTTAATAAACTATCACATTTTTATTTTGAAATACTCTCTTTTGTTCACAAGAATATAGATTTATTAATAATACATTAAAAATTCTAATTAATATGTTTAGGGAAAATTAAATCATAAATTAAAGTAAGAATTAAATATTTTTAGAAATTCAACATAAAAAAGTCATTTTAAGGAAAAAATCATATTGGTGTAGAAAAAGATCAATCATTTTATTTATTATAAATATAACAAATAATCATGTATTTTACAAGCCTAAAATTTGCAAACAAGTTCAGCTTTAGCCATCAATTATAAATTATCTCTCAACTGCAACTTGTTGCTATCAAAAAAATATTACTTAATTTTATGAAAATAAATGAAGGGTAGTTATTCTCATCCTCAAATCATTAGAAATTTATTTTATAAAAAAATTTGAATCTCTCATTTATTACATCATTATTTTAAAATATAATTGTGTATGACATAGAAAAAGTTTTAAGTTTTAACCTTGCTTATTTTCTTTGTAATGATGCTATTCTCCAACTAGTACTGTTTAAAAAGAAAAGCAAAATTAAAATCAATTATCAATGGGTACTATAAAAAATACATTACAATTGAAAAACGGAGCTTTAATATCATCAAGAAAATCAAAAAGTTTCTTAGAAGGTAATGATGGAAGCTGCATGAGAGATAGTATTTACACATTATCTACCTTTTAATAAAGTTCAACGGGAAATTCAATTATATTCGATTTATTATAGAAATATAAATTAAACACATTAAAAATATTGTTTTGTAATGGAGATAATAGATAATATAAAATAGGAATTTATATAAAATTTGATAATAAAGAAACCCTGATTTATGACTGTTATGCAAAAAGTATTTTAAAAATAACATTTCCTGATCAATAAGTATCAGGATTTAGGATACTAAATGTAGCTGGTAATACTTACAATATTCATCTAAATTTTATAAAGATAGAAGCTTTTTATTAATTATAAATGAATAAATTACAATGATCAATTCCATAAATATTTGTTCATTTAAGATCTTGATTGACATTTTTAATAATAAGAACATAGATAAAATTTCTAACACTTTTCAAATAATAATAATAAACATTCATATTTGAATAAAAGTATATCCTAAATTGTTGTTTTATTTTTTCGCCAAAAGCAAATACAATTTTGTTCATTTTGGCATTATAGCAATATATTTCTATTTATAACTTTAAATAGTTTTTATATACTAACATAAATAAATTTAAAGTATAGAGTGGATATTCATGTTAAAAAAATCTGTAGTGTTTTATTAATAGTTTTCTTTTTTATTTTTCATTATGAACTTAGCTATTATATTCTGCCTCAATCTTCCTATATTTCTTTTTGCCTAAAAAATCAAAAGATATGTTAAAGGAAAATTTTAAGACATCTCTTCTGTTGACTCCAAATTATTTAAGAAAAATCCAATAATATTTTTTTTGATTCATTTAATCATTTCCACTCAAAAAGTCTTACAATTTATTTCATCAGTTTCTTCACAAGATTGAAAATTCATTTTACGGATTAGATTTGTATTCATAAAGATAATAATAATTATTTGATTTAATCAAATATTATCAATTATGATTAATAATATATTTCTATTATTAAATCAATATTATTTTTATAATTTATGTAATACTAATAAAAATTGATCCAAATCGATAAACTTGGCAACCATTCACCTAAAACTTAAAATAAATAGAAATCACACAAATTTTACTTAATTTTATAAATATAAACTTTAAAATTGCTTTTTTTTAGAAATAATTTAATTAGCATAAATTAAAATTAAATGATGATCGATTGTTTTTGTCTTTAAGATGACTCTTGTTTAAAGGATATGTAATATTATAAAATTTTTACTTCTGTAATTTTATTGAATACTTTTTGTTATCTAACTTAATTAAAACAACCAGAACAATAAATTAATTTTAGTAAACAATAGTTGCTTAAATATATAAAAGCTTATAACAAATGTAGCATAAAAATCTAATTGGAATTGAAGAAAATTTTGAATTAATAAAAAAATATATCCAAATAGTGATCATACAATTTGAAATTGTTAAAAACTTCAGTTTAACACAAGATGATAAATTTTATGTAATTATTTTTATTTAAACTTGTATTTTCAACCAATACCAAACATAAGAATAGCTCATGAATGAAGTTTATTGAATTTATACATGAGTGAATTTGTCATACTAACATTGTGCAATTGAAATTAAATATTTTTGACCCCCTTCAAAATTGAAATTTATTAACCCAAAATTTTCAAAAAAATCCTAATATGAAAATAAAACTCTAACAATCATCTTTGATTCCTCTAGTTCTTTAGTTTTTGATTATTAAAGAAGCAACAGCAGGTTGTGATAGTTCAATTGCAGCAGAATGTGATTCTAGTGCTGGGTGTGGTTGGTGGTCAGAAGGTGGCTGTTATACATGCTCAGATTGGGATGAGGGAAACTGTTAGAATATATGTGGATGGTTAAATGAAACATGCCAATAGTGTAGCACTATTGCCATAAATTCATGTTTGCAAGTTGGATGTGGTCTTAATGATTAAAATTAATGTATAAACTGTGGAGGAAAAGATAGTACAAACTGCTCTAGCAATGTTGGATGTATACTTTAAGGTGATTACTGCTATCCCATACTTTTTGTAGAAGAAAATAATTGTGTTGCGCCATATGAATGGATCAATTTAAAATGTTAAGTTTAGGCTTGTAGTTCTTCAAAGAAATAAAATTGCTTATGTGGAACATCCATATAAACATTTTGTGGGACTACCCAATATTGTTTTGATGTAAATGCAGGAACTGGAATATGCAAGGCAAAATGCAGCTCCAATTTAAATTCAAATAGTTGTGGATGTGGAAATGATAATTTAGAGTGCTAAAATACAACTTTTTGTGTTGATATTTCAGCATCTTCAGGAACTTGTAAATAAGCATGTTCAGGTGGAGTAATATCAGATTGTATTTGTGGATCTTCAAATAAGTCATATTGTGATTCAACTTAATAATGTTAAAGTGATAATTGTATCAGTAATTGCATTTCAGCATTTTAAGCAAATTGCCTATGTGGAACTTCAACAAAATTAAGTTGTACTTCAACCACTTTTTGTGCTGATATAACTGCATCTTCAGGAACTTGTAAATAAGCATGTTCAGGTGGAGTTACATCAGATTGTATTTGTGGATCTTCAAGTAAGTCATATTGTGATTCAACTTAATAATGTTAAAGTGATAATTGTATCAGTAATTGCATTTCAGCATTTTAAGCAAATTGCCTATGTGGAACTTCAACAAAATTAAGTTGTACTTCAACCACTTTTTGTGCTGATATAACTGCATCTTCAGGAACTTGTAAATAAGCATGTTCAGGTGGAGTTACATCAGATTGTATTTGTGGATCTTCAAGTAAGTCATATTGTGATTCAACTTAATAATGTTAAAGTGATAATTGTATCAGTAATTGCATTTCAGCATTTTAAGCAAATTGCCTATGTGGAACTTCAACAAAATTAAGTTGTACTTCAACCACTTTTTGTGCTGATATAACTGCATCTTCAGGAACTTGTAAATAAGCATGTTCAGGTGGAGTTACATCAGATTGTATTTGTGGATCTTCAAGTAAGTCATATTGTGATTCAACTTAATAATGTTAAAGTGATAATTGTATCAGTAATTGCATTTCAGCATTTTAAGCAAATTGCCTATGTGGAACTTCAACAAAATTAAGTTGTACTTCAACCACTTTTTGTGCTGATATAACTGCATCTTCAGGAACTTGTAAATAAGCATGTTCAGGTGGAGTTACATCAGATTGTATTTGTGGATCTTCAAGTAAGTCATATTGTGATTCAACTTAATAATGTTAAAGTGATAATTGTATCAGTAATTGCATTTCAGCATTTTAAGCAAATTGCCTATGTGGAACTACAACAAAATTAAGTTGTATTGTGGGAATAAAATAGTAAGCCAAGTGATTTAGATCCTAAGAGTTATTAAGCAAGAAAGAAATGGGATGAGAATGATCCATAAAAATATAGAAGTGCAATATATACATATAATAATGATTAAATAAAAGAAAACTAGATAATTTAAGTGAGAAACATATTGAAAATATTAAATATCCTGATTCTATTAATTACGAACCTAATCAGTAATATAATGAATCTCAAAATTAAAAATAATAATATGCATAATTATATGGTGATCCAAATTTGATTGCATAACGTTAACATTTGCAAATTTAACAACTGCAAAAATAACAACAAGTCATCTAAATATAAAATTCATAATCATAACCAAATCTAATAGTTTAACCTTTAATTACTTCACCATCAAATTAATCTGACTAAATACAATAAATATTAGTAAGCACCTCTTGATCAATATTCAATAGATGATGATAGATAAAAAATAATCGTAAATATTAATGCAAAAATAATGGGAATTGTAAAGAATTGAGAATCTTCAAAGATTATAAAAATAATAAAATTATAGAACAATAAAACCTTAAAATATAATAACCATCAAAATATTGATTACAAAGAGTTGGCTAACCACATTTGAAACAATTTAATTAACAAGCAATCTAATTTTATGTTAATAATATATTATTATCTTAATTAAAATTATCACTAAATTCTTCCCTGCGAATGCTATATTAGTAAATTATACTTTTATTAGCGCAATGCAATTTAAAATGTGATCCAATTGATAATTTAGGATAGAATTTTAGTTCAAGTAAATCAATTGAATTTAGTGAATTAAATGTAATTGCTGGAATTGATGATAAAATTGAAGAGAATGTAAAACTGTATGCTAATGGAATAGGAAAGATATCCAGAAATTTAATAAAATAGATAAGAGTTATAATGAAGAATCTCAGCAATTTAAATTAGATTTCATGGACCAAAAGGTGTGCTATTGTTAAATGATAATCTGACTGATAACACAATAGAATTAAGAAAGAGTATGGTTAAATTTAATCCTAGTTTAATGAACGATGGTAAATATTCGAATAGGATATCATTTTTGGATTATGTTAAATTTAGATAAATAGATAATACAATGTTGTTGAATATTTACATGAACAATTTGCTTAAATGCTGAATTAAAATTTGCTAGAAAATTCGAGCTACCAATATAAGCTATGAAAAATGTCGATTCGAGGTTGATATTATTTTTATAATCGCTTTTTATTAAAAAACATCCATAAAACAAGCAAATAGAAGATGAATTTTACATTTGTAGACAATGCTAAACAAAAGTAAATTTTGATTTAAATAATATGGACAGTTTAAAAAAGTTGTTTCAGGTTATTATATTACTCATTTTTATAAAAATTAAAAGTGTGTTTATAATTCAAAATAAAAATAATCAAACCTCATTCTTTACACGAAATCTTTTTCCTTAATTTAACTAATAATTCCTTCTTTTACTAAAATTATTTTATGTAAAAGTTGATTTATAAAAATTTTACTAATAAGAATTGAGTTTTTCTAATTTAAATGCATCCAATTTTAATAAATATTAAATGATCATTTAGTGAGAACTTGGCCACTTTTGTATTAAGTAAAAATAATTCTAAATTTGAACATTTGATAATTAATTATGAAAAATATTACTTTTCCGCTTCAATTAAATTAAAAGGCAAAAATCACTTAATTCCTGAAATAAACAATGAAACTTTGTAAATATATGACTCATCTCTAGTTTGTGTAATGATTTTTAATAATTACTTAGTAAATTCATTATAGAAAACTATCTTATGAATAAATTACAAAGAAGCTAGGCTTGTTAATAAAGAAATTGGAAGGATGAATTCATATGGCTATTAAGCTGATTTTAATTTTTTGTAATTACGTAAATATATTCTAAATATATTGAATATGATTTACTACAGTTGGTAATTGAAATTAAAAGAATTATTTAAGATACCTTTAAGTCAAATTTGATTTGTTTGATGCATATTTAGGTAATATGCTCTAAGGATTTCAAATATTAATAACAATATTTTAGATTTTTAGATGATCTATCATAATGATTTTCTAATATATTATGCATATTTAATATTTACATTATAAAGTTTTAAGAATATATAATTAAAAAGAAGAAGTGAATTGCAAACTTTTATAAAAATATTAATTTATAAAAATGAGTGAAAAAAAAAATGATTTCTTTTCATTCTTCAATGGATCTCAGAAGAAAAAGGAAACAAAAAAGATAATTTTTGATGAAAATTACTTCAATTTGAAAGTAAATGGAGGAAAGATTCATAGTGATAAGATTTTAATTGAAGCCTTTTCAATAGTAGGTAATTGAATTAAGATAATTGAAGATAATGAGAAGTTAGAGACTGATATCAAATGGTTTTAAATTTCACCAAATAATGATTTCAATACTTTAGCAATAACAGGAAACTAATACCAACCTAGCATTGAAGATGTGGGTTCTAAGTTCATGATCCAAGTTGTGCCAATTAAAGAGGGTAGATAATATGAAGGAATGCCAAAGTCAATGGAAATAGGGCCATTATAAAAAGACGAGTCAATTTAGGAAGAAATTGATGAATTGTTAGAAAATGAAAAGATGACTGTATTTGTTACATTAGAATAAATATTAAGCAAGGATTTCCAGATTGTACTAAAATATTAATTAAAAAGGAAGCAGAACTGCCTATCAATTGCATACTCAAAATAACACTAAAAAATATGGAATTAGATCTAAAAGAAAATGATTAAACTATTCATCATATTTAAGTACCATTATAAGCATTATATCCATCATGTACATCAGTGCAAGGGACTGATGAGAGTTTTATCTTAAGGGTAGATTAAGGAAATCATTTCTAAATGAGAGCAGCTGATAATTCTTAAAGAGATATAATTTTGACTGTTATCAAAGGATTTTATGGTAAAGGCATATGGAAGGATCATGAAGTGTAATAATTAGATGAAAGTGAAGAAGATGAATAAGAAAAATCATAATTATAAGAATTAGAATAGAAATTAGATTTAAATCTTAATGATGAACAATAGGATCAAAACTAACAATAAACATAATAAACTTAAATTTTAAAAGAGGTTTGTAAAGAAGAGATTACGCAAGAATAACTAAATTAGGAACCAGTTGGGTCTATTATAATAAAAAAGGAGGATGAAGAATAATAAAAAAGTGATTTTGTATAAAAATTATAATCAGACGGAAAATAAGTAATTAAGCAACCACAACTGGAAATACGAGAATAAGATCATTAGCTCATGTAGAATATACTTACATAAGAAAAAAAATAAGAAGTAGATTAAGAATAAAATTAAATTATAGAATAAAATGAAATAATTCAAGAATAATATAAGAATATAGATCAAATAGCTTTAATTACTCAAAAATAGTCTGATGAGATGAAATAATAAGTAAATGAATCAAAAAATTTCGAGGGTGATAATGAAGAAGTATAATAAAATAATGATTAAAAAATATCAGAAGAAATTATTTAGGAATAAAATAATTAATAATAATAATAAGCCAATTTATAATAGCATAGAATAGATTCATAATAATCAACTTAACAATAATAGATTGAATAGCAGGAATAATAAACAAAAGATATAGAGAATAAATTATAACTTGAGAATAGTAATAGGAAATAGAGTGATTAGAATAATTAAATTAATAATGAAGAATAATTATTACTTCAAAGATCTGAACAAAATTTTCAATCAGTTATAATACCATCAGAAGGTAATAAGGAAGAGAAGCTTAGTCCTATAAAAAAGAAAGAGAAGAAAAACAATATGAATTTGTATATTCAGATAAATGAGAATGTCAAATTAAAATAAGATATTGAACAATATAAAATAAACTAATTAAAGGATCATGAAACCCTTTAAAAACAATAAAAATAAGTAAGAATAATTAATTCAATAGATTTAAACATTAACAGAGTAATTGAATAACTGCACAAAAAATTATTATTTACTTGAAGAGGAATGTACAAATTAAAAGAAGATAATGCACAATTTGAATGATTAGAAAGTTTTTTTATAATAGGATATCAATATGTACAAGACTTAATTATTGGAATTAACAGAAGTTAGCTCAAGTTAGAAGGAGGAGATTTCGCAATTATAAAAGCGTTTGAAAAGATAACAGCAATCCTAAGATTTGAATGAAGCAAAGAAATAAATTGAGTAATTAAAAGAGGAGATAGCAAAGAAAGATTTAATGTTAGAAGCTGCAAATAAGGATCATATATTAGCCTAATAGAAAATAGAAGATCTAGAAAAGGTAATAGAAGGATTTTAGAATCAATTAATTCATGAGAAGAAGAAATATGAGAGTTTGTCTATAGAGAAAGGAATAAAATAACCATAAGTAATTCAAAAGGATCTCCAGAGATTATAGTTTGAAAGGCCCATCTCAAAGGAGACAAAACATGTAGCATAATCTATGATCCAGTTAGATGATGCAGAGAGATATTCAATCGATATTAGTCAAAGTTTATCAAAGTAAGTAGATGATTAATTAAATAGTTTAGATAGTGTTAGTGAAGTGAATAGATTGAAGAATTAGATAATGCATTTAGAAGCAACATTGCGGAGGTAAATGATTAAATAAATATATCAGTTTGAAAATTGCTTACGAATAAGATATAAGATATACAAAAGGGAAGTCAGGAAAATCATCAACTGGAAGTAGCAAAGATATTAAATATTTATAACACATAGCCAATAATATGGCAGAAATTATAACGGAGAAGGACTCTTAATTAGAGAATCAGAAAAGAATAAATAAAGAATTGCTCACTAAATTATAGATTTTGTAATAGTAATAATGAGGGACATGCATATTTAATTATACTAATATTTGATTGTTAATTTATTTAAATTTAAACCGGTTAATTTGATCAAATGTCTGATTTAGCTGACAAGATAGTTGTAGTAATTAGAAAGAGACCTTTGGGAAAAAAGGAGCTTGCAAAAAAGGACGAAGACATTGTAGATGTTCAGAGTGATTAAAGTGTGATTGTTAGAGAAGTGAAGTAAAACACAATTGTATACTTAGATAAAAGGTAGATCTTACAAAATATGTTGAAGAGCATATGTTTAACTTCGATTTGGCATTTGATCAGAATGCCTCAAATTAATAAGTTTATTTGAATGCAGTTCGACCAATAATAGAAGCAGCCTTTAATAAGGCTCGAGTCACTTGCTTTGCTTATGGACAAACAGGAAGTGGTAAAACACATACAATGTTGGGTGATGTAGATAAACAAATACCTGGAATGTACATCTTAGCAGCAAATGATATATTCTAACTGCTACAATAAGTAATTTGAATGCAATTATATTATTAGCCTGAATTCCATCATTTATGTGTAGGAGTATCATTTTTTGAAATCTACTGTGGCAAATTACATGATCTTTTAAATTCGAGAGCGTAAATCTAAATGAGAGAAGATGCTAAAGGAAATGTTAATTTAATCAACCTTATTGAGAAGAAAGTCAACTCTGTCTAATTACTCATGTAAATCATAACATAGGGTTAAAGTACTAGAGTGACAGGTTAATTTTATTTATTATATTTTCTTAGCTCAAAATGGAGCCAATAATGAATCATCAAGATCTCATGCCATTTTACAAATCAACTTAAGATCTGGTAAAAATGTTTTTGGCAAATTGTCTTTCATTGATTTAGCTGGAAGTGAAAGAGGAGCAGATGTTTAAGATTCCAACAAACAAACTAGAATAGATGGCGCTGAAATCAATAAATCTCTACTAGCTTTAAAAGAATGTATTAGAGCATTGGATCTTAATAAAAATCATACTCCCTTCAGAGGATCTAAACTTACATTAGTAAATTTTATTTAAATATTCTTAGGTTTTAAAAGATAGTTTAACCGGAAATTGTAAAACAGTAATGATTGGAAACATTTCTCCAAGTTCATCAAGCAGTGAACACACCTTAAATACATTAAGATATGCTGATAGAGTTAAAGAACTTAAAAAACCTTAAGATAAATAGTTTTAAGGAGATTACATTTAAAGAGAATTGATGTTGGCCAGATAAAATAGTACTATTTTAATCAATTAATTCAATAGCAAACGTAGTTAGAAAAGCATATAAAAATCCAGATGATGAAGATGATGAAGATATATCATGTAATTCCATGAGCAATTCATTATTTCCTTAATAATAACAGTAATTTATGTTTTAATAATAATAATAATAATAATAATAATAATAATAATAATAATAATAATAGTAATAATAATAATAATAATAATAGTAATAATAGTAGTAATAATAATAGTAATAGTAATAATAATAATAATAATAATAATAGTATATGTTGTAATAATAATATTAATCTAATTAATATCTATTTTAATAACCATAATAATAATAATAATTTGTTCCTTTATAGTAATAGCAAATATAATAATAAAATGCACCAAAGTTATCATAAATATCAAAAAATTCTTCCTAATAGAATTCTAATAATAATATTCTAAATAGATTTAATTTAGGTTCATTTCCTACTATTAATGGTGGTAGTTCTTCTAATATAGTGCCAAATAATTCCAGATAGTAACCATTTTTATAATAATAATCTTCATGTAATTCCATTATGACAGAAATTCCTCAATAACAACCCCAATTATTTCAATAATAGCAGTATTAATAGTGTAGTAAATCACTCTCATACCCTTAATAATAGTAATAATTTTGTTAGAATAATAATCTTTTCCAAGAGAATGGATTTGATTAAGGATATTAATAATCCCAATCAAATTAATAACCATTAGATATTCGTCAAGATTCAATGGTTGAGGAAGAATTATGCATAAATAATCCAAATTATTTTAGTGTTACTGGAAGATATTCTTAGGAATCTCAATCTTCAAGATAAAGTTCGACCAGACCCTTATAAGAGATCAACAATTATGAAGGGTCTAAATACTTTAATAATAGATAATTCACAAATAATGAATACTAATATTAGTAACATATTTTGAATGAACATAAACAAACTATTGATAAAATAGTTGAAATCACTAAAGATGTATTGATTTGATTATACAAAAGGAAATGATTAATTTATAATAAGTCTAATCTCCCTAAGATATGTCATAATATGTGTAAAAAGTGATGTTCTAGTTACAGAACAAAATGGATTTAATTGCCAATTTGCATCAAAAAATGAAACAATATTAGAAGGATGTTGAAACTAGGGGAATGCCATTCCAACCAAATTCCCATACTTTTAGTTTATTTTAATAAGATGATAATTTACTAAACATAGATGATAATGTGATTTGAATTATATAAATATATTAAAAAAATATATTGAAATCAAAATTAGCTGAAATCATTATTAATAAATGACCATCCATTGATGTAATTAATAGAACTTGATTTATCAGCCGATAATATAAAATCGAATGGGATATCAAATTTTTAATTTAAAATTTCCTAATTAATAATTGGTTAAGGAGGTTTATATTTTCTATTTAAATATAGGGATATAAAATATACTTTTTTAATAGATCATCCCAATTAATTTACTTAAAAAAGGAATGATCTTTGATTTCGTCAGCATCTCTTGATGATGCACCTAATCTAGTCATAGGATTCTTTTCTAAAAGTAATTATATAATTGATTTGCATTCTTTGGAAATATTATCTGGGAATGAAATTTTATTGCATTCAATATTATTAAGCATTTCATCTCTATTAGGTGAAAAATAAGGAGGTTTTCCACTAATCATTTCATATAATAAAATTCCTATAAAATAATAAATTTATGAAATACCTAAATGATACCAATCAACAGCTCTTCCATGTCCAACTCTTTTTAACATTTCTGGAGCTAAATATGCCATGGATCCACAAAAACTTTTTGCTCCATAATTATCTCTGACTCCTTCTTTTGATAAACCAAAGTCTGTCAACATAGCATGACCTTAGGAATCTATTACAATATTTTCTGGTTTTAAATCTCTATATATAATATCATTCTTATGTAAATGTTCAAGGGCAGTGAGGATTTCTGCAATATATAATTTAGCAGCTTATTCAGGGATTCGCTTTTAATTTTAAATAATTTTAGATAAATCTCCACCTGGACAGAAATCCATTAATAAACAGAGATGAGTATTTGTTTAAAATGCAAATCTTAATTTAACAATGTAGGGATGATTTAAATAAGATAAGATATTCCTTTCAGCCATAGCATATCTGATTAAATTATGTCCCAAAAATTTACTTTTCGGCAAAACTTTCATAGCATATTTTTATCCTTATCCAGTTTTAGTTTAATTTCTTCTCTCAACTAAATAAACATCTCCAAAAGAACCTTTACCAATTTATAATATAATTCTAATATTGGAAGGGCCAATCATTTCACTATCATTTAATTAAGACTAATATTTAATGTTGAATTACAACTTGATTAAGGGTGGTACGATTAGATGTAGAGAATTAATTATCTGTTTAATAAGGGGAGTAACATTTAGATGATTATTAGTATTGATTTGTGAGATAATATTATTATTTACTGGTAGGAGAATTGACTTTTTGTTATTCTTTAGAATCATCATAGATTTAAACTTTATGGCATTAATTGAATGACTCCTTTTTCATCTGGAAATGAACTTAAATAATTAAATACCCTATAATGTTTTTCAATAAGATTTTTAAGAGTGTTGTTGTTTTAAATGAGTTCAACAGGAGACTTATTATCTAAGTTTTTTAGATTTAACTGTAAGGAGGGCCTTGCTAATAGAATTTCAGCAATTCTAATATGTTCTAAATAGAAAATAAATAATTTGTTATATACAAAATAAACAAGCATAATGTAATGCTGTATTTGAATTATTATCTATATGATTAATATCTGATCCTATAGTTAATAATAGAGTGGCAATAGAATCACAGCCATTTTGAGCACATATAATTAAAGGAGTTTGTCCTTAAGCATTTATTGAATCACAATCAGCTTCATTTTTAAGAAGTAAGAGTGATAAATCATAATTTTAATTTAGACAACTATAATGAATAGAAGCAAATCCTATGTATGTATAAAATTAATACCGTTATCATCTTTAACATTAATTTCAGGTTTTAAATCTTTAGTTGGAATCTCTAACAATTTTTCAACTTCTTTGATATTGTTCTATTTGGCATTTAGAATTAGATAATGATTGTTTTCCCTTTTTTATTACCACCAACCTTGCCATGCAGATTTATGTCTTTTTTTTAATTTGGCCATGTATTCTTTATTAACTTGAATCTTCTCAACTTATCTAATATCGTAAATAGTTCCTGTAGTAATAAGTAAATTTGAAACCTGTGTCTTGATCTTTAATGAGGAACATTTCATCATTAAATTTTTATTCATACATATTAACAGGAGCTGTATTTGTATGGAAATGGGAGATACGTAGATTAGATGATTAATTCTATTATGCTGTTTCACTAAATATGTTTGCAACTTACTCAAAACCAGTTGAGTTTTTAGAACTCCTAGATTTATTGCTGTTACAATTAGAAAGACTGCCCTATGAACTTTATTTTTAATGACTACTTTATTGGAGTTTAAATACTATTGATCTGGTTAATATTATTTAGTTTTCAACATAGTTTATTCAGCATATAATTTATTATTCATAGCTGATGGTGCTCTTGGAATTTCAGTTTTTTTATTATTTCCATTTAAAGTTGGAGTAGTCGCATCATTCTATTTCTTGAATGTTGACTAATATTAAATCTAATATGTGGCATCTCTCGGAGTATTGATAGGCAATATAGGTTGTTTCTGCATATAATAATATTAATTTAAATTTCCTTTATATATATAAATTATAATATAGCCTCATAACATTTCCATCTTATGATATATAATTTCTTATTTATTCAATATTTAATGCCATTTATTACAATCTCTCTTTATTTTTCATTAAATACATCTCTATGAAACCCCTTTTTTATTTTATATATGCTTCAAAGTTTGCTTATTGTTTAATAAACTCTATTACAGTTCCTATTCAAAATCCTTTTTTTACTAGATCTCCTTATTATATAATATGTACAACCAATACTATAATCTCAATACTCAAAATAAACAGAACCCTACTACTACTTTTCAATTATAAAATTATATTTCCAAATATCCTTTCAAATTGTATTCTGCAAATCTTTTATAAAATCAATACATTTTTCTTTCATTTCTTCTCTCTATATATCTGTAAACGTGTTTTTATTGATTTACAAGTTTCATCACTTATTTAAATTTACTTAATATAAAAAGTGTTGCAATTTAGGTACTCCACAATATCTTTCTCCTAGAAATTTATCAAATTGTCTAGCCATTTTCAATTTCACAAAAAAGTTACTCATACTCTAATTCAATATTAACTAAGTATTAAATAAATTAGTGAAATCTTAATTTATTAATGCTTTTTCTCATAATTCTAAATTCCTGCTTTTGTTGATCAATATTTTCCTACTAATCTAGATAATACCTTATTGTATCCTAATTTGAATCTCCAATACTAATTTTTTACCATTGATAATTACTATGATTCTTGTAAAATGCTTAAAATTTATTATATCCATTTTGAAAAGTCATTTTATTTTCTAATTCTTAGATGCAACTTCTCTAATTTGTATTACTTTGATTAATAACTATTTATTTAATCATAATTTGTTATAAATTAAAAGATTTTAAATATTTTTTTGTTTAACTTCTAATATTATTTGATTAGTATATTTTCTCCAAATTGTAGATTTAAGTGTGTTAATTTATTCTACATAAATTTAGCTATCAAATTAATTAGAATTGGCAGTCTTTAATTTAAAAGCTGTAATAGGTTAATTTTTCAAAGATTGTAAGATTTTCATCTAATTGAATAAACAGTTTTATCTAATATTGAAAACATAAGCCAATAGTTATTAAAAAGAATTTTAATTAGCAATAATTAAACAGAATTGAACCAAAATTATCTAAATTATCTTTGATGATATTATTTCCTTCAATTTTTAATCGAAATTAATTAAATTTCAATTTAGAACTTAATAGCGATAATTATAGAATTAATTTTCTATTTTAAGTAAATTAGAATATAAATCAAAGAGAAAAATACATGTATCTAATTTTCATATAGAAAGACAAATCTAACATTATTATTAAGTCCATTTACAATAATTAAAAGAATAATAAAATGATTTTGTTACAGTATTATAATTTTAAAGACCGTATTAAATTAGATGCTAGTTAGAATTTAATAAACATTTTAGCAATCCTTTCCAGCAGATGCAAAGCTCCTATTATTAAAAGATTTAAAGGACATTATATATACTACAAAGTCACATTATATATCATATGTAGTTTTCTTAATCCATAGAAATATATTTATATATTAATAATAATAGTTTTTAAGCTGTTAATGAAAACTTCAGTTCGATAAAGCTATTAAAACATTCTAAAAATATCATCACATCTCAAGTAATCAAAAACAACCAATTCTCCATTAAACTAAAAAAAAAGAGTTAAATCTGCTACTCTGTTAAAGTAGTAACCATATGAAAAATTAATTAACAATACAACAAGAGATGAAGAAACTACCAGAGGTATAATCGATAGCATAAGAGTTGATAATGATTGTAAATAATAGAATGAAGATGATTAATTCAAAAAAATTGAAAATTACANTATCCTAATTTGAATCTCCAATACTAATTTTTTACCATTGATAATTACTATGATTCTTGTAAAATGCTTAAAATTTATTATATCCATTTTGAAAAGTCATTTTATTTTCTAATTCTTAGATGCAACTTCTCTAATTTGTATTACTTTGATTAATAACTATTTATTTAATCATAATTTGTTATAAATTAAAAGATTTTAAATATTTTTTTGTTTAACTTCTAATATTATTTGATTAGTATATTTTCTCCAAATTGTAGATTTAAGTGTGTTAATTTATTCTACATAAATTTAGCTATCAAATTAATTAGAATTGGCAGTCTTTAATTTAAAAGCTGTAATAGGTTAATTTTTCAAAGATTGTAAGATTTTCATCTAATTGAATAAACAGTTTTATCTAATATTGAAAACATAAGCCAATAGTTATTAAAAAGAATTTTAATTAGCAATAATTAAACAGAATTGAACCAAAATTATCTAAATTATCTTTGATGATATTATTTCCTTCAATTTTTAATCGAAATTAATTAAATTTCAATTTAGAACTTAATAGCGATAATTATAGAATTAATTTTCTATTTTAAGTAAATTAGAATATAAATCAAAGAGAAAAATACATGTATCTAATTTTCATATAGAAAGACAAATCTAACATTATTATTAAGTCCATTTACAATAATTAAAAGAATAATAAAATGATTTTGTTACAGTATTATAATTTTAAAGACCGTATTAAATTAGATGCTAGTTAGAATTTAATAAACATTTTAGCAATCCTTTCCAGCAGATGCAAAGCTCCTATTATTAAAAGATTTAAAGGACATTATATATACTACAAAGTCACATTATATATCATATGTAGTTTTCTTAATCCATAGAAATATATTTATATATTAATAATAATAGTTTTTAAGCTGTTAATGAAAACTTCAGTTCGATAAAGCTATTAAAACATTCTAAAAATATCATCACATCTCAAGTAATCAAAAACAACCAATTCTCCATTAAACTAAAAAAAAAGAGTTAAATCTGCTACTCTGTTAAAGTAGTAACCATATGAAAAATTAATTAACAATACAACAAGAGATGAAGAAACTACCAGAGGTATAATCGATAGCATAAGAGTTGATAATGATTGTAAATAATAGAATGAAGATGATTAATTCAAAAAAATTGAAAATTACAAATACTAACATGAAAAAGATCAATGTTACATTACACATCTATAACAATAAGTTAAAGACTTAGAATAATAACTGGTTTAAATAGAAACTAAACAAAAATCAATAATACAACCAATAAAAAACAATGCCAAAATATTAATGGATAGGATCTCCTATTTAGAAATTGCTAAAACTCAATACTCTGTTGAAGAAGATAAACTATAATAATGTTTATAATAAATTCTTGATCAAAATTATAAAATCAATCTGGCTTATGAAAAGAAATGTTTAGAAATTCAAAAACTCAAAACACTTAAATAAATTCCTTTAAAATCATAACAATTTTGAATATCTTTATATATACTTATTAAGAATATATATTATGGCAGTAAATGTATTCCATTAATTCATATTATCAATTATTACAAAGTCCTAAAATAATTATTAATATTTATAAAGTACCACATCCCAAACATTGTTCTTATCCGTTTGGTGCATGATTTCCTCCAATTATACATTTTCCTTTTCCTAAACATTGTGGCAATTCCTCTTTCTTTAATTATGTTAGATATTTCCCTACAGATTACTTTGTATGACAAGATTAACAAAAATGTGTAGTTCCCCTAATAATTTATTTTATTTATCAATAATACCAACAAAAGTAAGTTGCTATATTACAACAATACCTACATTTATATTCTAAGAATTCAGTTCCATGAGTTTTACATCCATTAATCTATTAACCACAGCATGAAGGGCAAATTAAATCAGATTAGTTCTGTCTATTTTATTCAGCCTCTAATTCTAATTAACAATCTTTCTTTCCTCCAAAATATGGTTTTTTGCATTTATCACATTAATAAAATGCAAAAATTTCTAAAGCATCTTCAACTTTTAAAATTTGACTATCTCCCATCTTACCCATTCTTAAAGAAGCCTATTTACGAACTAATTATTGTAATTCTTCATATTCATTAAGTTTTCTTTGGGAAATTGAATCTTTTGGAAATTCCTATATATATATATATATTTAATAATACCATCCATCTTTTACATATTGAACAACAACAAAATCCAAAAGATATATACATAGTAGTCCATTTCTTTTCTAATTTCTTATTTAAACAATAATAATGAAATATCTTATTTATAATTATTTATAATTACATGTCCACAAACTGCTTAAATACATGGACCTTCATATAAAGATTCTGTAAAACAAATTGTGCAATACTATTCAGATAATTTTTAATTTGTGCATCCAAGACAACCTAAACAATTTTTTTCATCTTTATATCCATTACAAAAATGTTTGCAACTTACTATTTTTTAACAAGCTTAAGCATTTTTTGCTTAACATTCCTATTAATTGCATATTGCTCTTTATCCAGGTTTAACATCTTTATTATTCAAATATCTATAACAAAATGAACACTATTATTTTTATTAAGCAGGTGATTCCCCTGTTTTTATTTTTTTTTACAAATACTATAATCTCTCTGTACCAATATATTTTTCAATTTCCTATTAACTTAATTACTTTAAGCAATACGAACACTAAACACAACCAGATTTTTATATATATTATTGATTTATTAATTTCCTTATGCAACCTAAACAATGAGCATGCTGACAAATTTAAAAATTATAAATGATTTCCATTTCATCTTCATTATTATCTATTTTTCCACATACAGAACATTTCTATCTTATTGCCTATTCACGACTGTTAATTGGAAAAAACTTTTAATGAATGTTATTAAACGACTCAAATTTCAATTAAATAAATTTACTTATTTTTGGAATTAACTAGATTACTATGGAATTGACTATTTTAATTATCTATTCGAAGTTTTTGGTGAATTTAATTAACTATTTTCTTCTAAAATTATAGTTGTTTACATTTATTACTTTTATTAATAATGTCATCTATTTGATTAATGATAAATAGAAATTCAGCTTTTAAAGTATAAAGTTAGGGTAATTTAAAAATATTCAAACGAAGCTTTTCAAATTCTTTATAAAACAATGATTCACTAAGAAACTTTTTGCAATGAGAAATGTGATTGTATAAATCATCAAAAGGATCACATCTAATCTACTAACCACAAAAACACTTGTAATTGTCATCGTAATTAGGTTCCTCATGATTTTATTACATCAAAGACTTAACCTAATTATAAAACCCTTGCATTAATAAATTGCTATTCATTATTTTTATATAAAACTTAATTTATTTATAGATTTTTAAGTTTAAATATTTAATTATATTTTATGTTCTTTTGAAACTATATATTTATTTGCAATTATAAAATTCGAATAGAAGAACTTCATATTCATAAATAAACAATACTGATGTTAAAAATAAAATAGTTTATTATTTAAATAAAACCATATAAAATTTAAAATAAATTCCATGTTTTTTTACTTTAAAATAAATCTACACAAATAAACTAAATAGAATGTTAATTCTCTATATGGATTTTAGTTCATAATTTTTAATCATCAAATTTCGTGAAAAGTTTTGGGTTTGAAGATCTAAAATTCTATAAATTAAAAATTTAATTGTTGCTAAGCAGCTTATTTCTTAACACAAGTTTACATTGAAAGAAGATAGGAAGAATATTCAGAAAAAGAATCATTAAGAAAGAATAAAAAAGTGTTAATAATTATGTAAATGCATTATAATTAATTTAATCTCAAATGATGTTGAATAAGAGAATTATAACTGAAAAACTGAGTTGAAAAATTATAGAATAACCCTCTTTTTAAATCTAATCAGAAGACTGATTACATGAACCCACTTATTCAGATGGATCTTTACAGATCTAATTCTGATTACAATATTATGATTTATTTTATCCACAATAACAGTCTGATGCTTTTATAGTTATGCAAATTTCAAAACAACCGCTTTATTCTGTTGCAAGATTTTAACATACAAAGCCAGAATGACAAATCAATTTCTCATCTAAGTTTTTCTGAATTAGACCACAAAAACAATTTGACTCTCCATTTTCTAAACATGCTGAAATACATGTTCCTGTAGCATGATTGAAGATAGTTTCAGTATTATCAAGACAAGCTTTTTATTGAACCAAATTCATACAATTTTGATAATTAGTTGAAGTGCATTCTGATATACATATACCTTTTGATTGGAAAGAACAATAAGAGGAAGAAAAGCAGGTTTCATAAGAACTTATTCCACATAAACAATTATTTTAATATTCTGAACATTTTTCAAAACAATATCCATTTACAGCTGTAATATCTAAACAATGTTAACTTTTATTACAATAAGCTAAATTAATGACACCACATGAACAATTTGATTAAAATTATTATAAGCAACTTCCTAAATTACAAATTCCTGTATCTTTATATGGATCTACACAACTTTCTCCATTTTAACAAATCTGTTTTGTTTTTATTCCACAAATACAGTTTGAAGGTAAAAAGTTTGAACATTATTGTAAACAAATTCCTTCTTATTTAGATGAGCAATAAGTTTCAGATGAACATTCTGAATAATAAGTAGAACCACAAATGCAATTGTTTTAGAATTGATTACATTATTAAATACATGTACCAGTAAGTTATGTGAAATCATGACAATATTCATTTAGACCACAAAAAGAGGATGAATAATTACCACATAAACAATTTCTTTGTAAATTACTTTAGCATTTATCTCTACAATAACCATTTTAATCGTCATGATTTTAACATACTTATATATTTGTGCAAACAACTTTATTTATTAAGCCACAAATGCAATTAGATTTTAAATTTTGATTACAATTTTATAAGCAAAGACCTATTGAATCATTTATATTTCTACAATAAGTTGATGAAGAACATAATTAAATTTATGTTGTACCACATAAACAAGAATGGTCAAAATTATTTGGACAACTTGGTTATTATATACAATTTCCAATATTTGCATTTGAATCTTCACAAATTTATTAATTAAAGCATCCTTATTTAGTAACAGTACCACAAATACAAGAAGATCTCGAAGTTGCTGTACAATTTTAAAAGCATTATCCAGAAGTAGATGATGAATTCAAACAATATTTTTAACTATTGCAATTATTAAATTGATTTTATCCACAAGAACAATTATTTTAAAAATTTTAAGTGCAAATATCTAAACAATTTCCAGATGCATTGTTGTATTCACATCTTTAATTTTAATTACAATAGGTTTAGTTTATTGATCCACACATGCAATCAGAGAAAGTAGAATTAGAACAATTATTAATACAAACACCATTTGACGAATTAGGGTCTTTACAATAATTATTTAAACTACATTATGATTTTGTTGAAGTACCACAGAAACAATTATTTTAATATATTGTAACACAATTTGAAATTAATAAGCATTAGTTATTTTAACATTATTGAGTTGAATCACAATAAGATTTACTAGAAGATCCACAAATACAATCAGATATTACTCCACCTGAACATGCTTATTTACAAGTTCCTGATAAAGCATTGATATCGCCGCAAAAAGTAGTTGAAGTACAACTTTATTTTGTTGTAGTTCCACATAAACAATTTGCTTAAAATGCTGAACTACAATCACTAATACAAGTCTCACTTTAACATTATTAAGTTGAATCACAATAAGATTTACTAGAAGATCCACAAATACAATCTGATATAATTCCACCAGTACATGCTTATTTACAAATTCCTGATAAAGCATTAATATCAACACAAAAAGTGGTTGAAGTACAACTTTATTTTGTTGTAGCTCCACATGAACAACTTGCTTAAAATGCTGAACTACAATCACTAATACAAGCATCACTTTAACATTATTAAGTCGAATCACAATAAGATTTACTAGAAGATCCACAAATACAATCAGATATTACTCCACCTGAACATGCTTATTTACAAGTTCCTGAAGATGCTGTAATATCAACACAAAAAGTTGTATTTTAGCACTCTAAATTATCATTTCCACATCCACAACTTTTTGAATTTAAATTGGAGCTGCATTTTGCTTTGCATGTTCCAGTTCCTGCATTGACATCAAAACAATATTGGGTAGTCCCACAAATTGTTTATATGGATGTTCCACATAAGCAATTTTATTTCTTTGAAGAACTACAAGCCTCTACTTAACATTTAGAATTGATCCATTAATATGGCGTAACACAATCAGTTTCTTCTACAAAAAGAATGGGATAGCAATTTACACCTTTAAGTAAGCATCCAATATAGCTAGAGCAGTTTGTACTATCTTTTCCTGCACAGTTTATACATTAATTTTAATCAGTATGACCACATCCAGCTTGCAAACATAAACTTGTTGACACTGTGCTACACTATCGACATGATCCATTAAACCATCCACACATATTTTTGCAGTCCTCTTAATTGTGATCTGAGCATGTATAACAGCCACCTTCTGACCACCAACCACACCCAGAATTAGAATCACATTCTGCTGCAACTGTACTATCACAAAATGTTTTTGCTTCTTTCATGATCAAAAACAAAAGAACTAGAGGAATCAAAGATGATTGTTAGAGTTTGATTTTCATATTAGGATTTTTTTGAAAAAGTTCGAGTTAATAAATTTCAATTTTGATGGGGGTCTAATAAATGTATTTTTAATTGCGAAAAATAAAAAATAGTATCAAATTCATTTTAGAACTCTTGATCACATTCAGCAATTTTTTATTTTCTCTACTCTGGTATGAAAATTGCACCGTGTAATCAAATAAATTTATACCTATCTATAAAATTCAGAAAAACCTTTTTTCATGAATAAACTTTTTTTATGTTTTGTATTGATGGGAAGTACAAGTGGTGTTTTTATATAAAATAATTTCAAAAAACCTATCATCTTTATTTTAACTGAAGCATGTATTATTTTCAAATGGTATTATCACTTTTTAAGAATTTAAAATTTTCTTTGATTCCAATAAGATATTTATGATTCCACTTTTGCGATAAGCAAATTTAAATTAAGCAACTATAATTTGCCATCATGGCAATTATTTAAATTTTTTATTTATATGATTCTTGCGAGAAATAATTTTAATTTATTTATAATTAAGGATATTTTAATTTTGTTTGTTATTTATCAAAAAACTATTTTATTACAATTAATAATTTTATATTTAAAATTTTCTTTGAGAAAAACCTTCTTTAAAGATGAAAATAATCAATTATCATTTACATTGAATTCTATAAATAAATTATTCAGAACAACAACAAACAATTTTTTATGATTAAGTAAAATTTTTGCATTCTATTTATTTGAAGTCTTAGGTAAATGGTTGCAAAGTTTATAGATTTGAATCCATATTTTTTATTGTTTGTATAAATTATACTAATTTATATTTATATATATATTTATTTAATAATAGAAATATTAAATTAAGAATCATGTTGTCATAAATACATTATGATCAGTTTCTTTCAATAAAGTTGGTTTAAATAGTTTTAAAATATTAGAGAAGAATTTTTTAAGCTTTTTATATTTCTATAATAAAAAAATCAATTATTGGATAGCATCTAAAATTAATTAAATAACAAAAATAATTGTAATACTGCCAATGCAACACCAACCTAAATATGATTTGATATCTTCTGAGAAAATACGTAATTCCTCATTTAAGCTTATGATTAATAATAGAAACAATGTAATAGCTATATTAAGTTCACAACTAAATTGTTTGACAAATTCCTTGTAATCAGTTAATGGTTTAAAGGAGAGCAAGAAATAAGATTGAAGGATAGTAAAAATGATTAAATTGACTATTTAAAAGGATGGAGTTTCATAAAAAAATATTAAAGTTATCATAAACAATAGTTTTTTTGTTAGTAGAATTGCATTAAAATATTTACTGACATTTGATTTTTTGATTCCTTCAAACAATGTTCCATATTTTAGATTGTTTTAATAATTTATAAAGGCATATTATTTTTGACTGCTGAGCTTGATTATGTGAAAAATAATAGAAATATAAAAAAGGAATGATATTAAAGAAAGTATGGAACTTGTTCTTATAATAATATTTTATGAAATTAAGTCTAATGAATACAATTAGAGGACAATAGCAAAAGTGAAATCATAAGCTGTTGAAATTAATGCTCTATAGATTCCACTACAAAAAAATTCACGCAATACTTTAATACAAAAACGTGTTATTGAAATTTTGATAGCTAAAATAATATATTTAATCTTCAAAATCAAAGAAGGTTTTTAATTTGGAATTTCATCATAGTATTTAAAATTAATTTGATGTAAATAATAAGGTATTTTTTTTGAGACAATGTAAATCAAAATTAAAGTGAACCAAAGAAAAATGACTGATGCACTATTTATTATAAACAAAGGAGTTAATTCATCTTATTTGATTTTAAGAGGAATAGTATCGAAATTTTCATTTTAAAGATATTAATTAAGAAGATCTTCAAAGTTAAAGTATTTTTGAATGAAATTTATTTGAACAAATTGAAAGCAATTAAAGAAATATTGTAAATTAAATGGAACAGAAACATTAATATATTTTAGATAAGATAATATTTAAATTGTATCTAAAAGATTATAAAAAATATCCAATCCTCCAAATAGAAGTGCTATTGCACTCATTGTTCCAATAGTATATAAGATGTATTAATTACTTGAAGATGCAATTTCAGCCTTTTAAATAGTAGATGTTTCCACAAAAATAACATCAGCAATTTTGGTTGTTACTAATAATAATTATTATAAATAGCCATCTATTGATTTAATATTAGTAAGGTTTGTAAATCTAATTACAAACTCTTGGTTGTGAATACTTTAATTAAATGATATCTGAAAATGGACAGTTAAGTTGCAATAGGATTAATTAATTAATTCAATATTCTAAGTAATATTAAAAATAGAGTCAACAAAAATTTCTTTTTAACCATTACGAATGATCAATTGGATATGTTTTTATAAATTGAAATCATCAGAAAGTATAAGCAATTTATTGTATGAAATTACGAATTGTCTAATATTATTGTAAATAGATTGATCCCCTATAGATTGTAAAATAGGGATTGGTAAATCAGGTTTGATACAAATAGAATCTTAACAAATATACAATTATTCTAGTTTACATATGTGGTTGCAACCATCTCCATTAAAATTATTACCATCATCACATTCTTCACTAATAGATTTAATTCCATCTCCACATTTAGAATAGCATGTATTGGTACTGAAATCAGAATAATAGCCAATAGTGTCTTCACAATTGAAGCATTAGCCTATGACATTTAATTGAAATCTACATGAAACACAATTAGATGCACTATTGATACATTATAGACATTTTTGATTGCATTTAAAACAAACAGATTATTTAATAAAATATCCTTCCTCACATTATATACAATGAGTAGTATTTTAATTTTGATTGTAATCACATTTATAACAATTAGTATCACATTTATAACAAATTGAAGGTTTAAGAATATAATTGATACATTTATAATTAGGATCAATCTTACAATTAGTGCATCCATCTCTTCCGATATTATTTCCATCATCACATTCTTCACCATATGTCCATAGGTTATCTTAACAATCTTTATATTTACAATTCTCTTTTATTTTACCTTCTTGTGAATTACATTTTTAACATTCCTGCTTTTCTGTTTCAAAATATCCAGAATTACAAATACATACTTTATTTTACAATATTCTATTTTATTCTATAAGACAGCTAATACATTCATTAGATGAAATGCATATTTTACATCCATATCTACATTCTTAACATTGTTCTTAATTTGATAAATAATATCCTTATTTACAAACACATTTATTATCATCTAAAACAACATTTTAGATATTCAAACACTCTTAACAAATTGTTTATGAAGTGCATTTTCCACAAGGAAATTAACATTAATAACAATTAAAGTGATCATTGTAATATCCTTATTTACATTGGCACTTATTATCAATTAAATCATAAACATTTATACATGAAGTACAAAAATCTGATTGATTTTCACAAGTGTTACAATTCTATTAACATTCTGTACATTAAGAATTAAAGAGGAAATAACCATCTAAACATTAATCACAGGACTACTAATTTTAACATTATTGACAATGTTCAATACATTTTTAACATTTGTAATTATCATCTAGATAATGTAAATCTTAACATTGAATACAATGTTCATATGAGATACAATTGTAACAACTCATTGAACAGGGAGAACACTAAAAGTTTTCATCATAGAAAGATCCATTTTGACATTTACATTCATTTAAAATGAAAACTAAATTAATATCTGAACATTAGAGACACTTATTAGCATTATCTAAACAAGTTTAACATTGTGGAGAACATTTGTGACATGAATTATTATGAATATAGAATCCATCTTTACAGATACATTGATTTTGTTCTAATTTATATATGGTATTATCAACACATGATAAACAATGATTAGCTTAGATTGAACATTCTAAACAAGGTATTTAGCATTATTAACATGAATAATCATCATTAGCATTCATATAATAACCTTGAATACAAATACATTAGTAATTAATTACAATTTGATGAGTATCTAAACATGTTAGACATCCATTTTAATTACAAGTTGCACATAATGGATTACAAGCAATGCAATTATTTGTAGATTCAGCATAAAATTATTATTTACATATGCAATTGAAATTCAAATCAAGAATTTGATTGATATCAATACATGAATCACAATGATTTTAATTTACTGAACATGTTAAACAAGGTAATTGACATTCGATACAATGATTATACTAATCACTTACCCAACCTTAAGCACAATAACATTAACCATCATGAAGAATATGATGTGTATCTAAACATGATGTACAATAATTAGTACTAATTTAACAATTAATGCACGGAGGAGCACACAATTCACATATATTATTAATTAGAACATATCCATTTTAGCATATACATTAATGTAATTCATTAAGATATTAATGCTCATCTAAGCAAGACAAGCAGAAAGTTGATAAATCAGAACAGGTTTTACAATTTTCATTACATATATCACAAATAGATGGATTATGAGATACATCTTCATAATATCCTTCTTAACAAAAACAAGTATAGTTATTGATATTAAATGAACTTGCACATTCTAAACATTAATTAGGATTAATATCACATGAAATACATGGATGATGACAAGGTTAACATATTGATGTGTGATCCATGAAATATCCATTTTTACATTAACATAAAGGTACAATTTGGTTGATTGAATCATGACATGATAAACAAGTTGATAGTGAAGAACAATTAATACATGGTAATGAACATAATTAACATTATCCATCGTCATCTTAATAATATGTATCATCACAAATACAATCATGGTTATGTAAATGACGGTTTAATCCAGTAATACAAGATGAACAATTTAATTATGAACCTGAACATTCATAACATGGACTTACACATTATTAACAAGTTTTTGGATCTGTATTCTTCTCAAATTCATTGGTTAAACATGTACAACTATTAGAAATTAAAGTATAAGTTGATCGACATGATAAACAAATTGTAGCAGTAGATTAACAAGTTAAACATGGGAATGAACATTAGTCACACATAAATGTTGAAGTATTTAAGAAATATCCATCATCACATTAACAATTAGGTGTTGTTTAATGAATATTATCAATACATGTGATACATGTAGTAGTAATAGTATTACATTCATAACATGGTTTACTACAAGGAATACATGTATGATCATTCAATATATGAGTTGTAATACAAGAATCACAAGATGATATTGAATTGCATTCTATACAAGGGGATTAACAATCTATACAATAAGATGTTACTGTATCCAAATATTTCTAAGTTGATTAACAATTACATGTTGGAGTTTATTAATTACTTGGATCTATACAACTGGTACAATTATTTTCATTATTTTCACATGATAAACATTGTTTTGAACATTTCAAACATTGAGCAGCTGTTGATTTATAATATCCAACTACACACTCACTACAATTTGTATTTGATGAGCATTTAGAACAAGAAGATGGACATACTACACAGTCATTAGATGAATTCTTATAATATCCATCATAACATGAATCACAATTTGAGTAAAATGAACATGTTTTACAACTTTCATGACATTCATGACATGAAAACATAAAAGAGTATTAATGAGTTGAACACTCTGAAGAATATACTAAATTATTACTAACAGATTTACCATAATTAATGGAACAATAGACTAATAGAAATTGGAGTAAATTCTTTGTTAACATTTTCTTAATTATTAGATTTTTTAAATCTTTCTTAAAATATATTAAAATTGTCAATAATTATTTTTATGAATCTATATAATATTTATTTATATTATATAACATTATTAAAAGTATGAAAATATTAATATTCATTTAGAAATTAACGATTATTAAGATGATCATTCTTTATAGTATTTGCTTTATGGTTATATAATATAACAAATTATGAAAATAAATGTCATATTGATTTATAAGATATTTGATGAATCATAAATTCAAATTGTAATAATTTATATTAAAATAATGTTAACGAACAATTAATATCCCTAACTTCCAGTTCAATCTGTACTATACTAATAATAGGCATAATAAACTAATTAGAAACTTCAAAATTAATAATTCTAATCGCCTGTTTAAATGAAAATGATATCAGGTTAACCTTCAATGATATATTAATAATAAGCAGCTTAAAGTTAAATGTATACTTAACCAAATCAGATATATACTTAATCAAATGAAATATAAACATAACCAAATCAAATGTATATATAATCTAATCAAATTAATGGATAAGTTAATCAAATGTATGCATAATCTAATCAAATATACACATAATAGAATTAACATGTAAAGACTATACAACAACATCATATGTAAATTACAAATGAAGCAATATAGGCATCATACTCATGAATACAAAATTCCTTAATATTAGTAACCAATTGTGACATCTCCATAATAACCTGTAATTGCTACTCCATAATAACCAATAGTAACAGCACCTCCTCCTTAATAACCAGAAATCAATGAGTTGTATCATGTAGAACGAGAATTACAAGTTCTTTCTGTTGAAGATGTAGAAGAACCTTGGAAAAAAAAATGTGTCGAATTAGAAATTAAAATATTTGACTTATAAACTGAATTAGCAAGATATAAAAATTAAGGATAAGAAATTAAAGTTACTTCAAATGAAGAATTTTAAATTAGAGAATTAGAAGCTAAAATTAAAATGATGAAAGATATTGAAGATGGATTAAGAAAAGAAATTTAAACTTAATAAAGTGAAATTGATTCTTGGAGATAAAGATATTCCAAATTATAATTAGAATTTTAACAATTACTTTAAGGAGGTGAAGAAGTTAGATAATTAAGAGATGCTCTAGCTGAAAAAGAAAGATAAATATTAAAATTAGAAAATGCATTAAATTCATCAAATATGGAAATGCAAAATTATATGAGATTAATTCAGTAATTATATATACATAATAATATTTTAGAAATAAAGATTAAGAAATAGCATAATATAAATAGATGATTAGATAATTAGAATAAGAAATGAGTGAATTTTAATCTACAACAGAAAAATTGAAATATTATTCTAATGAAGCAGATGTTTGGAAAGAAAGATTTATGAAAGCTAATCAAGATTTCCATACTGCATAAGAATAATGGATGATGGCTTAAGCTGAATTAGATTCATTGAAAAAATAAAAAACAATTACTACTACTGAAAAAACAACCACTGTTTAATAATCTAATACAAGGTCAAGTAAAACTGCAGGTAGATAATATTGAAAATTATTATATCATTATTTAATTTAGAATTGTCTCCTAATTCTTTTATGCTAATATTTTCTTTTATTTAATTTACATTCATAGTATAAGCTATTCCAAAAAATATAACCAATCCTTTTATTATATTATAAAAACAACCATAAATCTATATAATCTATTACATATTCACGTTAAAAAAAAGAATTCTTAACTTAAAATTAATAATCTTTTTTATCCTTTTCTTAATCATTTAACAAATTCTTAATTTTTGAAATTTATTTTAGAATTTTTTCTTCTCTTTAACTATTCATTTCCTATCCCATTCAATTATTCTTCATCTTTTTCGTTTTCTTCCTATTCTTTTTCTAAATTATATTCCATATTATTGAGATCTTCTTCAGCTTAATCATCTTCACTTTCCCTTTTACTTCCTTCTTTTTTATCTCATTTCTTATAATTAATTCATTTAAATTTATTCATATTATCATTTTTCAAAATTTTTATTCCTGATCAGAATCTTCATTCTCTTGATCATCCTTTTTTTATTTTAATTATCAGATTTTTTTAATAATATTTTATAGGGAATTATCTTAAAATCGAACACATTTTTTTTTATATCAGTAGATTTATATTTTATTTCTTTTAGGCAAATATAGATTAAGGTTTATTTTAATATGATTTAATTTCTATTACAGTGCTATAACTTTTTTCTATGATTTTGATTTAATTCTCTTTTCTAGTACTATCTTAATTATCTTTTTACGTACATTTTACAAACTCAGATTTTGTTTTGTTATTTATTGCTTATGCATTCATTTATTTTTTAAATTAATTCTTGCTAATTATACCAAAAAAAATTTAATTTTTTTAATAATTATTTCTATCAGAATTTATTCTGTTTAATTAAGCCATTAGAATTTAAACAAATTTATTTATCTAAACTAAGATTTTCAATAAATTAACCCAATCATATAATATTAAATGTTAATTAATAATAATAATAACTTTTGAAATTTTTATAAACTTTTAACTTAGTGAAAATTTAGTATATTATAATGTGATTGCTTGAATAGATAAAAGAAGAAAATTAATATTTTAATATTTCTATCTTATATATGATAATCTTTTTCATAAAATGGAGCTCAATTTAGAGTTGCAACTAAAAATAAAGCTCCGAATAATAGAATATTTGACTTTGAGTTGACTTCATCACGCTCACAATATTCACATTTCTTACTTTCAGAATTCCAATAATAAGAAGAAAAGGTTTTTGGCCAACATTATTCCATAGTTAATTATGATATTTCTAAATCAACACAACCAGTTCCATTCCATATACAATATGTAAATTATTTTGAATCAAGAGATTCGTAATAGGTACATTCATTTTCTTATAATGAAGAACAGGTTTTTGGTTTGCACGAATCTTACCAAAAACAAGCAAAAGGATTACAAAGTTCAGAAGTATTAAAATCAGAACAATGATTAACTACTTTGGCATCACAAGTATTCATTAAAGAATTTTTAATGCACTATTTTCCATCAGGAGTAACAAGCCAATTACAGTGAATTAATGGCACTTTTTCACAATTAGAAATAGCATATTAGGCATGAAATTCTTTATCCATACATCTAATTTTTTCATTTGTATCATCAATACTATTAACATCAGCTTAACACTTGACTAATGTATAACACAAACTCCCGTATTCAATTGGATATAAATAATCTGAGCATTTGGTAAAAGATTCACAACGATTTTCGAAGAAATTCCAAATGCATTTAAATTTGTCTGGAGAAATTAAGCAATACTATTACTTAATTTCAGAACAAACTTTTTTAGTACATTGACTTGTGTTGGAATTCCAATTACAAAAATTAGGATGACAAGCACCTTGCTCTGTTATTTTTTCACAAGTGCACTAGCCTGATTAAAAGTATCCTAATTTAGTTGATGAATTTCCAATTGTCATTATGCTAAATCCAAGAAGAATAATCATTATGTTCCAATGATCCATTTTTAATTAATAACTATTCTTAATGATCAAACATCTTTAAAGGAAGAAAATTTTAATTTAAAATCTAATTTTCTTAAAATTGTTCGGAAATTCTTAAATAATTTTCAATAATACTGAAATAATTTTTTACTATAAATCATTTTATAACATCAGTTTTATTCAATAAATTAAAATTATGAAAGACTTCGAGTAAAATCATAACTAATAAGGGATTAATTATTATGAGAGATACTTAATAAATAAAATAGAAGCATTCCTTTTTTGTTAAGAAATTAAAATCTATTCATTCAAATCAATTGAAAAGGATCGCAAAAAATTTACCATAACTTCTTCTAGTGTAATATCAAAAATTCTTTTCATTTCTTCAAATTTGGAGAATTTGGTCTATAAAAAATTTAATTCAAATCAAAAAACATCAAAATATAATTCCTCGAAGAATTACCATGAAAAAAATTTTATTATCATATATTAGAGCTTCCCAACAACTTAAACTAAAAGAGACAAGAAATCTATTTAAAATTGGTTTCTCTGCAAGTTGATTTGTAAACAATAATAATTGTTAATAAGTTTTCAAAAAAATAAATGTATAATTCATTTAGTAAACAATAATATTATA